TCCCGAAATAAATACCCCTCACGCATAAAGAACCTATCAACCGCCCCCTTAATGCATGACAAATAAATATCCGAAAAATCAACATCTTTTTTCATACAATTCCTTAATAGGTTCAAACCCAAGTAACTTAGAATCAAGAGTAGTTAGCAATACGTACCTTCGAGACAACGCATCCGCCACCACATTTTTCTTACCTTGTTTATACCGAATGACGTATGGAAAGGTCTCAATGAATTCCATCCACCGTGCATGCCTCTTGTTCAATTTACCTTATCCCCGCAAGTGCTTTAGTGACTCATGATCGATGTGTATTACGAGCTCCTTCGGCCATAGATAATGTTGTCAAGTCTCCAAAGTTCGAACAAGTGCATATAGTTCTTTGTCATATGTAGGATAATTTAAAGCAGCTCCACTCAATTTCTCGCTAAAGTATGCAATAGGCCTCCGATCTTGCATTAAAACTGTTCCAATCCCTATTTCTGATGCATCACACTCAATCTCGAATGTTTTATCAAAGTTAGGTAATGCCAAAACAGGTTCTTCACATAATCTACCTTTAATAGTATTAAATGCAAGTTCCTGTTCATCACCCCAATGAAAACCTACACTCTTTTTAACTACTTCCGTGAGTGGTGCAGTGATTGTGCTAAAATCCTTTACAAATCACTTATAAAAACTAGCCAAACCATGAAAACTCCTAACTTCCATTATGCTTTTAGGTGTCGGCCAATCTCCAATAGCTTTTATCTTTTCATCGTCTACTTCTACCCCACTAGCACTAACCACAAATCCAAGAAATATAACTCTATCCATACAAAATGTGCATTTCTTAAGATTAGTATAGAGTTGTTCTTTCTTTAAAATAATTAGCATACATTTTAAATGTTCCAAATGCTCTCCTAGGTCTTTGCTATAGAGTAATATGTCGTCAAAATAAACCACAACAAATTTTTCTATAAAAGCACGTAAAACATGATTCATTAAACGCATAAAAGTGCTAGGTGCATTTGTGAGTCCAAACGACATAACCAACCATTCATATTTAGTTTTAAAAGCCATTTTCCATTTATCACCCCCCCGGCATACGAATTTGATGATACCCGCTTTTTAAATCAATTTTAGAAAATATGCAAGAACCATGTAATTCATCAAGCATGTCATCTAACCTACGTATAGGGTGACGATACTTTACCGTTATGTTGTTGATAGCCCTACAATCCATGCACATTCACCCTGTTCCATCCTTTTTTGGTATAAGCAAAATCGGTACCACACAAGGGCTCATGCTTTCCCTCACGTATCCCTTGCTCATTAACTCCTCCACTTGCCTTTAAAACTCCTTAGTCTCCTCAGGATTACTTCGATAAGCCGGTCGATTTGGAATGACAGCTCCTGGTATGAAGTCAATTTGATGTTCAATGCCTCGAATAGGCGGCAATCCACTTGATGCATCCTCTGGAAATATATCGTCGAATTCCTGCAACAAAGACTTAGCCAAATTAGGGAGGGGTGGGTTAGTTTCCTCAAAATTGAGGAATGATTCCTTATAAACGAACAAGATCATATCTCTTCTCTCAACTACCGCCCTCCTCAAATCACTCTCCTTTGCAAAGAAATTCACTCGTGTTTTCTCTCTTCTCTCGAGGCACTCTCTTTCTTTTCTCTCTTGTGATTGCTCTCTCTTTTTCTCTCTAATGACTATCTCAATATTTTCTCTCTTTTTCTCCAACTCACTATTTGCTTTTATTTTTTCTAACTCTTTTGCTCTCCTCTCTTCCTCACTTCTCAATTTTAATTGATCTTCATAGACTTGCGCCGGTGTTAATGGCACAAGAGTAATGGTCCTTCAATTCTTAATGAAACTATATCGATTTTTGTACCCATCATGCATAGCCTTCCTATCGTATTGTCATGGTCACCCCAATAAAGTATGTCCCGCTTGCATTGGCACCACATCACATACTAACTCATCCTTATAACTCCCAATTGACAAATTAATTAACACTCTTCGATTCACCCTCACCTCGCCACTCTCATTCAACCATTGCAATTTATAAGGTCTCGGGTGTCTCAACAATGTTAAACCCAATTTTTCTACAAGAGATACGCTAGCTACATTAGTGCAACTACTACCATCAATTATAACACTACATACCGTATTGTTGACGTGGCATCAAGTGTGGAAAATGTTCTCCCGTTGCAACTCCAAGTCATCCGCTTTGACGTGAGTAGTGAGAGCTCGCCTTATAACTAATAGATCCCCAACCGGCCCTTCAAATTTTTCTTCTTCACTAACACCCTCCAATGCCGGCATGTCATCAAACTCGCTATCACTATCGCTCACAATCTCTCCATTATCCCGCAACACCATCGCTCGTTTGTTTGGGCATTGAAAAGCAATATGCCCCGTTCCCAAACACCTAAAACATTTGATGTCCCGATTGCGCGACGGTTGTGCCTCCGGTTTTGATATTGGTTTGCTAGCATTTTCATCCTTGCCCTTTTGCCAATCATTTTTACCTCTAGGTGCAGCTCCATTTCTGTTGTTGTCATCCCACTTCGATTTTCATGTTGGATTAGGAGTCGAAGTACCTAACAGTTGCCTAGACGTCCCCTTCCTCTTCAATTGCTTCTTGACCTTCATTGCCACATGTAACATGTCCTCGATCTCCACATAATGTTGCAACTCTACAACGTTTGCAATATCCCGATTTAACCCATTCAAGAACCGTGCCATGGTAGCTTCCCGATTTTCCTCCACATTAGCCCAAATCATAAGAATTTCCATCACCTTGTGATAATCCTTTACGCTTTTCGATCCTTGATACAAACTTTACAATTTTTGATAGATTTCTCTATAATAGTGACTCGAAGCAAACCTCCTTCTCATCAACATCTTCAACTCATCCTAAGTGCTAATTGGCCTTTCCCGACCCCTACGCCGTGATGTTAGTACTTGATCCCACCAAGATATCGCGTAATCCACAAATTCAAGCACCGTCAATTTTATCTTTTTCTCCTCCGAATAATTATAGCACTCGAAAATTATCTCAACCTTTCTTTCCCAATCTAAATCTAAATATGATTCTGGGTCACTTCGCCCCTTAAATTGAGGAATAGTCATTTTAATACTTCCCAAATTTTCATCTACTTCATCGCCCAAGTTATTTCTACCCCGTCTTTCCATCCTATCGCCCCTATGCCTCGCTCGACCCATATCAATGTCATTTTCATCAAAATCATCCTCATCACTACGATACTCATCCCGCCTTCCTCTCCTAGATTCACGCCTACCCGGCCCCCTAGCATTAGACATCTCCACTTGTCCCCGACTAAGATTAGCAATTGTAGTACCCATTTGTGCCATCCATTCCCCTTGCCTATCCACCTTCTCCCTAACATCACCAAGTACCCTTTCAAACCTCGTTATCATGTCTTCCAATGCATTGTGGTCATTACCATTTCGCCTTGAATTAGAACCTTCTCTTTCCAACATCATATCACACATTTTTTTTATGCCTCACAAAGATTTCACTCGAAAAACACTCACTATGGCTTTTCCCTCTATTAAACTCACCACTCGGCCTTTTACCACTCAAAGTCTCCCTCCAAGCACTTCAAAGAACCAAGTGAACTAAATCAATTGTTTTACCGGCAATTCAAACAAACCGAATATTAATCAAAGACCACGAGACTCAAAGGACTTGAATAAGTGGAATAGATGAATGTTTTGACACGAATATGTGAATAGACTCAAAAGAAGAATGAAAGACTCGAACCCAATTAAAAATCCCAAAAATCAAACACAATGTAGGAATTGTTGTTGGTAGAAAAAAACAAAATCAAACAATGATATCAAAATTTTTATATATATATATATTTTTTTATTTTTTGTGAACAATACTTCAAGATGAACAGTACCTCGAATGTACAGTAACCTTTTTTTTTCGTTTTTGTACTTTTTTTTTACTCCTTAATGAAAGAAGGTGAATAAACTATCAACAACTTAACAAAACAATGAAAAGAAAACAAGAATGAAGAAAAACTAAGAAAGAAAAATTAACGACCCAAACAAATAAAGAAAAGATATAACCTTCAATTAATTTGGAGTCAAAGCTCTGATACCAACTGATACGAACCCCGTAGCAACGTTGACTACGAAATTCACAATGAGATTGACGAACCCAAGAAAGCCAAATTAATCCAAGAGTTTAGGATTAACCCAAAAGAAAGTCGAACCAAAAAACCCAACAAGAACGATGCTTGAAAGACCCCTTGATCACACAATCCAAGAATTAAATCCGGTTGTTTGAATGCCACAAGTGATCACTTGATAATTTCGAAATTGTTCAATGAAAAACAATGAAGAGAAGACAATACGCCTCACTTTAATTCAATATCAATAATGTCAAAAAGGTTTTTTAACAATTGAATGAAAACTCCTATTTATACTAAACCTAAAAATTAGGTAAAAATCGTGCAAAAGTCGAGCGTAATCTCCAAAATATGGAAAAGAATCAAAATCTAACAAAATATGGAAAATTGCCAAAATTGGAAAATTCGCCAAATTTTTGGCTTGTGCGGCCGCATGGTGTATTTCCATGCGATCGCATGGTTCAACAAAAATTCCAATTAAAGTTTCGGTATGCCACTGTGCGGCCGCATGGTGTTTTTGCTGTGCGGTCGTACATGCTTATTTTCAGCCTCCGGTTTCGTCGCTTAATAACAAGTTGATCCAAGTTGATTCGACCTTCGACCCGAATATGAAAGTTGCTCCATTTTGAGTCCCGAACATGGTTCCATCAATGGTTTCTTGAACGAGGAATCCCATCGCTTGTTTCACTTGCTTTGCCCTTGATCGCGTCATTGGTCCGCCATCGACTATCAACGGGTCTCGTCTCGCACTTGCCTTCGTCGGGCTCGACTCCTGGATCATATCAAAATGTCTTCATTTGTTATGGAAGCAAGTGGACACAAGATAATGAGTACACAAGTGAAAAATGACTGGAATTGTTGTCCTGATGGATTGTACGTACAACCACCTTAAGTGCATGATATATTCTGTGATGAAAGTAAGTGCATCAACTCAGAGAGTAAAAATACAATATAGAGTGAAGAAAAACCTGCCTTTAATGGAGATTTCAGATAATATTTCACTAACATTTTATTTGGAGCTGAAGAGAAAGGATAAAGATCGTGCAAGCTTTCCATTGTGCGTAAATGTGACAACGGTATAAAAAAGTCAAGAAGCTGAATTTGTTAATAATATACAATGTTTGGAAGCTGTCAATTATGAAAAAAATGATATGTTACAATTGCAGTTTTGTGAAGCTGTAACTGATAATTCTATGACATCAGCTCAAAAATTACCTAGTATGGAAGAAATTGCGATTGATGTATACAATAGTATGTCGAAAGTTGGAAAAACGACGAATGAAGGAGGAAGTGATATCATTTCAATGGTCACTATGGATGGAATTTCAAAAGAAAAAGTGTTCAGGAACAAGACATTGGTTAAGAGAAGTATTTCGTTATATGCGATACATAATAACTTTCAATTCAAGGTAAGTAAGTCGGACAAGAAAGAGTGTGTTGAATTGTATTGATGATAAGTGTAAATGGACTTTTAGAGCTTCAAGACTTGGTGGAACTGATATATTCAAGGTAAGGTATATAAAAAATGATCATATATGCTCAAATAACATCATTTTGGGAGATCATCGTCAAGCAACCAGCTCAATAGTAGGAGAATTCATCATGTAAAAGTATATCTCAACAAAAACAACATACACTCCTGCAGACATTATAAATGACATGATGAATACCTATAGACTATCGATGAGCTATGAGAAAGTTTGGAGATCTAAGAAGAAAGCATTGGAATTAGTGAGAGGAGATCCCACAGAGTCATATGAAAAGCTTCCAGAATACTTGTACATAATAGAACAAACAAATCCTGGATCAGTTACAAAAATTGAGACATATCAAGACAACAAATTCAAGTATCTCTTCATGGCATTAGGAGCATCTATTCAAGGGTGGAAGTATTGTAGACCAGTTATAGTAATATATGCTACATTTTTAAAAGGCAACTATGGTGGAACACTATTCACTGCATGTACGCAAGATGCCAACAACAATATCTTCATATTAGCATTTGGAGTTGGCGATTTAGAAATCAATGATTCATGGGAGTGGTTCTTAAGTATGTTAAAAGAAGCATCTGGTGAGCGAGAAGGTTTGTGTATAATCTCAGATGGACACGCAAGCATAAAAAATGCAATTCACAAAGTGTATGAGAATGCAATGCACGATTTATGTTCCTATCACTTACTAAAGAACTTGAAGTCTTCTTTTGGTGGGAAAAAAGGGGGAAAGAATATTGTAGAACATTTCAATAGGGCTGTAAGAGTATATTCTAAGATTGATTTTGAGTTCCATATGAAACAACTTGATGAAATTAATACAGGGATTCGATCACATTTGGTATGTTCTTATTGTTAACTTCTATAATAATTGATGTCACTTTTTGTTCAAAAAGTGACATTCTGTCAATTCTCGATCAAAGGGTGATAGAACGTCACTGTTTCGTTAATAGTGACATGATATGTCACTTTCTGTTTGAAAATTTTGTATGTGTTGGTACTTTTTATTAAAAGTGAGTTAAAACAAAATGTGACATTCTTTTACTTTTCAACCAAAGAGTGACAGAATGTCACTTTTTTGTTAATTGTGACTTGTTATCACTTTTTATTTAAAAAGTTTGTATGTGTTGATACGTCTTGTTAAAAGTGAGTCTAAAACATGACAGAATGTCACTTTTCTGTTAATATTTTGAATCTTCTTTGTGCAAAAAGATATTGGTTATAAGAAATGGTCGAGGGCTTACATAACAAACAACAGATTTTCTACAATGATTTCAAACATAGTTGAATCGGTAAATTCGGTAACAAAAGCAATGAAAGGTTGTCCAATAGAGCCTTTATTGAAATCGTCAAGATAATTGTTACAAGAATGGTTTGTGAAATATATAAATGATGCACGAGCAACATTCACAATACTTGCCACCAAGCAAGAAAAAAAACAAAGAAAAAATTCTATGGAGTTAAAGAAAATGAAGGTAAAAAGTTATAAACTTGCTGTTTTGTTATTGTACATCAAGATTTCTATCATAACATGATTTGTATCCTCTATTCATATTGAATTTTCACTTTAAATCTTCATTTCATATAAAATAGTGACAAATTTATTGATAGATTATTTTGTTATATTATGCACATAGGTATCAACTTCAAGTTCAATATTGTACAAAGTTAATGATGGTTGTGCCTCATATTTGGTGAACATGGAAGAAAGAACATCCACATACAACCAATTCCAAGTGGACAAGATTTCATGTGCACATGCACTTGCGGTTATTGCAAAGATAAAGGAGGATTCATATTCATATTGTTCGGTATTTTATACAACAAATATGTATTTCAAACATATAGTGCATCAATTTTTCTATTAGAAGATCATAATGAGTGGAATGTACTAGATGAGATAAGAGCAAGAATAATCTTGGCTCCTAACCTAAAACAAAATCTGGACGACCTAAAGAAAAAAGAATATCATCAAAAGGAGAGAAAATTCAAAGTGCAAAATGTGGAAGATGTGGGAATTATGGTCACAATTGTGGATCATGTCAAAATCCACCAAAGATGAAAAAGAAACCACAAAAGAAAATGAAGTTAGAAGATATATGAAACTGGATTATATGATATTTTTTGTTTCATTTGTTTTTCAATTCAAATATTCTAAGAATTGCAAAAATACTTTAAGCAAAATGTTGATTTTAAAATTTATTATGTATGTGAATTTGTTAGAAAAAAGTGACAGTAGAAATTGATGGATTTTATTAAAAAATTCTTTGTTGTATGTATGTGCATGCGACAATGTATTCATAGTCCATTGACATTGGATCCACATTTGGTTAATTGACAAGTGACATAATGTGTCACTTTTCTGTTGAAAAAGGGACACTGTGTCACTTTTCTGTTGAAAAAGGGACACTGTGTCACTTTTTGTTAAAAATTTGACATTATGTTACTTTTTTGACATACAAAAAACTATTGTGTTTAAAACTATAGTCAGGTCACATATTGTTAAAAATGTGACATTATTCCTTGCTCTATTACATTGTGAGTGTGTTTAAAATTTCACAAAAACACATCGTTAAAAATCATACTTATTGACAAATAATGCCCTTTTTTGTTAAAAAAAAAGTGACGCAATCAACAAAAAAGTGACACAGTGTCACTTTTCTGTTGAAAAAGTGACATTATGTCACTTTTTTGACATATAAGAAACTATTGTGTTTAAAGCTATAGTCAGGTAACATATTGTTAAAAAAGTGACATTATTTCTTACTCCATTGACATTGTAAGAGTGTTCAAAATTCCACAAATAGTGCTGCTTTTATTAAAAAAAGTGACACAGTGTCACTTTTTTGTTGAAAATACAAGAAACTATTGTGTTTAAAGCTATAGTCAGGTAACATATTGTTAAAAAGGTGACATTATTTCTTGCTCCATTGAAATTGTAAGAGTTCAAAATTCTACAAAAACACATCATTAAAAAACATACTTATTGACAAATAATGCATTTCGTTAGAAAAAGTGACGCAGTGTCACCTTTTTGTTAAAAATGTGGCATTATGTCACATTTTTGTTAAAAAGGCGAATTATGTTACTTTTTTGTAGGAAAGGCAACATTATGTCACTTTTTTGTAGGAAATGCAACATTACACAAGCTAACCCTGGAGTAGTAGAATTGGTTTACATCAACTAACATACAAACAACTAGTATGTTAAAAAAAAAGGTGACTGGAGTAGTAGAATATGTTTATACCAAGTGACATATAAACAACTAGTATGTTAAAAAAAAAGGTGATATACAAGCTGACATGTTAGAAGCTACATCACCAATCCCTGCTCCATTGATGTTGTAAAAGAATCCATCACTAACAATTGAAGTTGTCTACCACCATTAACATTGCCACTTTTCCCTAAATCAGTCATTATATACAAAACATCAACTACCAGCCAAATCAAATCAGTCATTACAAATCAAGGCATGTCATTACAAAAACAAGACATGTTTCTTTACTTCCTCAAAATCACCTACTTCTCTATCACATCAGGATATAGCTACTCCATCTTCTTTGACACCCATTCATTATCTGTATCATATTCCTTTTCTTGCTTCTTCTTTCCATAAACATATAATTGAGCTGCCAAATTTCTTCTAAGATGTAGAACATTAAAAGGCTTTGGCATCTCATTTAACATTCCATTAATGAAGTACTGGGCATACTTAATTACATAGATTTCACAATCTCCGCTGCATGAAATAATGAAAAGTACTTTAGATAATTACATAGTAGAATGTCAAATGAAAAAAAAAATATCTTCAGAAATAAACTTACCCATTATTTTGTTGTGGAAGTTTTGGAATCATTTTTACAACTAATGGTTTCAAAGCTTCTTCTTCTGAAATGCCCTTTCCCTCAAAGAAGTCAGTATGAAAGAGAAGATGAAGAATAATATCAGAAAATGGTTTAATAGCCTCAAGTACTAATACCTTTCTCACAACCATGTTGTACGAAATATATACATTAAGACACATATGTTGAATGTCGAAATGACACAAAATCCAATGAGCTGAATTGGACATTCTAATTGGTATAAGCACATGGTCAATAAGGCTCCAATTTGTGTTGCATGACATATACAGCCCAATATCATATGATAGAAGAGAGGTCTATTTTTCTAGAGCTAACTTATCTTGACAAAAGTCAACATAAAGACCTCTCATTTGGCTATCAAACGGAAAATTTGTGGTCGTAGCCTTTATGTTTATCCATTTTCCATATCTTAACAAGTTTCTTAAATAATAGAAACACACATCAATATGCTACAAAAAAAAGAGAAAAATGACAAAATCAACAATAGTAATAAAAAATAAACAAAATAATTTTAAAAACACCAACATATAAAATAACGTACTGTATCTTCCAAACATTCATTTGGAGTAAACAACTCATACCACCACTGTTTTGTAGAGATTGCAATGTCACTAAAATAAAAGAATGGATTGATAACGGAATTTTCATCATTGAAATGTTTTTCCTACGTAACAAAATGGAAAAAGTCACATGAAAGTTACTGTACTAGAAAAAATTCACAAATAACATAAATTAGTAACAACTTACATATTTTTCTTTACCAATCCCTTGTTAAACCAAAGCTCAAAGGTATCAACATCATGTGCCATCGGAGGGCCAACACCAACCGGGAATGCAAAAGTACCTTTAACAACACGTTTCTTAGTCCCCGATGTAGAATCAAATTCATTGACCCAGGGAGACTGAAGAAGGACTCTAGGTTTCTTTTGTCTTTTCAGATGCATGTCTGAGATCACATTATCAATATCAATGGTTTCAACATTTTCCTCTTCAATTTCAGTTTCAGCTTCCATTGTAGCCATGACTTCCACAACTTTCTCCCAAACATCATCTTTCAATTCAACCTCCAAAAACAATTCAATTCTGCCTTTATTAGATGGTGATGCAACATCCTGGGACATGAACAATAACGCAAATTCAAATTATATTAACGTAAAACCATACATAAGTTATGACGAAAAAGATGATAGAATGAAAACACAAATACTTCTTGATTTTTTGCTAAACTACGGCAACAATATCATCAACTCTTAACCAATCATCTTCATGAAATTCTATTTCTTCATTCAAATTTATCTCGACCGCCTTATCACTTTTTACCACTACCCTGAGACTTTTTTCCACTGCCTTGTCAATTTTTTCAATTGACTTGTCACTTTTTCTGACAGGCACCTCTACATCTTTTTTCCCACAACTCAATTCAACCTCAATACCTAAAGAAAAACTAGGGAAGTCATTATACACCTGGTCTGTTTCATCAGGTAAACTCTCCACACCATCCTACAAAAAAAGTCACAAAGATAATCAAAAAGTGACAATAAGTTAAAAAAGTAACAAAATTCAGCAAAAAGTTGCAAGTATGAATTCTAAACTCAATAACTCTTGAATACCTTCGTTTGTTCTTCATTACCAGCTAACATCTAGTCTGTTTCATCAGGCAATCTCTACACTATCCTACAAAAAAGTCACAAAGATCATAAAAAAGTAACAAAATTCAGCAAAAAGTCACAAGTATGAATTTTAAACTCAATAACTCTTAAATACCTTCATTTCTTCTTCATTACCAGCTATAACCTGGTTCATTTCATCAGGTAAATTCTCCACACTATCCTACAAAAAAAGTCACAAAGATCATCAAAAAGTGACAATAACTTAAAAAAGTAACAAAATTCAGCAAAAAATCGCAACTATTAATTCTAAACTCAATAACTCTTGAATACCTTCATCTGTCCTTCATTACCAGCTAGCATCTTCTCTACTTTGCATTCCAAAATTT